ATCGGGCTCCCTGCTCGGCAGGGAGTCTGCTTCTCCCTCTGACCCTCCTCCCTCTCATGCTCTCTGTCTCTCATCCTCTCTCTCTCAAATAAATAAATAAAATCTTAAAAAAAAAAAAAAGTTAAGTAACTTGTCCCAGTCACACGGTGGGAAGGTAGTGGAATTGGGCTTCAAATAAGGTCTACTCCTCTGCGCTGGTAATAATCACTTCATCACTGCGCAGTGCCTTACAGTTTGCAATGGGCCATAAAATACATTATCCTGTTTTAATCTAACAAGAAGGTGAGGGAGTAGTTTTTGGCTTTCACTGGATTCTCAAAAGAGTTCAGAGCTAGCCCAGTACGTGCCGCGCAGATACGCTGCCACCCCGGGCCGCTGGACTCAACTAACGGTACAGAACAAACGTTCACACGCACGCCCTTTAAGCCTCTTCGCAGCCGATTTACCGGGAGGAATTACCAGCCCAGTTTATAATCGAGGCGAGAAGGGCGGTGACGGGCCTGGGGTGAACCCAGCCTCCGCCCCCTGTCCCGCGCCCTCGGGCCGCTCCAGCGGCTGGGAAGCCCTGGGTCCCCTGGGAAACGCCCGCGCGTCCCACCCCTCCTCCGGCCCTGGGGCGACGCTGTGCTTAGACCTAGCGCATCCCAGAAGCCCGGGTCCAAACGCACACCAATACTTGCCGGAAACCGCCTGCAGGGGTCCGCGTCACCCGCCTCGACCACGGCTCCGGCGCTGCTCCGCCCCCCTCCGCCTGTGTGCGCATGCGCAACCCCGCCCCGGACTCTACCATCGCGGGAGGCGGGGGTGCCCGGCGCGGTGGGGTGCACAACGGGAGCCTACGCGAGGCACCAGAAACGCTTGAGGACTGCCCTCGGTATATTAAAGAGACTCCGGAGGGGATGTCTCCTGGAGTCACTTACATTCCCCGTGCTATAGACTGGGAAGAGGAACCACAAACCCATTGGTCTGGTCTCCACAGCCACCTGGGGCCGTCACCGTGGTAACGGCGTCTCGCGGGCGCCGCGGTGGCTCACCACGGTTCCATTGTTGTGGGAAAGGTGGAAGTGGTGACAGCGCCTGGCGTTGCCTTGAGAACGCCAGGACTCACAGTAGCAAAATGGGCCTCTCCCCGACGCCCCTCCTCCTCTTCTTCCTCCTCCCCGACCACAAAGCAAAGGGCACCCCTTCCTGGTGCATGTGGGGGCAACAGGTGTCGGATGTCCCATCCAGGACTTTGCGGGGTCCGCTGAAGGACCCGTGGCGGAGACGGCCCCAAGTTCGTCAGATTCCGCCTGTGTCTTCAGGTAAGACGTACAGACAGACGATGACCCTCCCTGCCCTCTTCCGCACACTGCCACCTCCCCACGTCCCGACACTGATCGGCTTTTACAAGCAGGAGAAACTGAGGCCCAGGGACCACTTCAAGTGGCACAGTGAGCAAGGGCAGGGAACTACTCTAGGATCAACGCCAGATCTCCTGAAGTCCTGACTGTGTATTATTGGTTCCATTTGAAAAAATAAGAAACTCAGAGCCATTCAAGGGATGTTTATTGGGTGCCTAGTGAGTGCACCAGGTCGTCCATCCACTGAGAGCCTGATCCCATGGGTCTCTGGCTGCAAGTGCAATTTTCTTCCAACTACACCTCAGTGCATTGAAAAGGGGAGAATTCTATGTCCTAGAACCAAACTGCACGGTCTAACCCAGCACTATCCAATGGAAACATACAGGGGCCACATGTGTCATTTAGAATTTTCTAGTAGCCATATTTTAAAGATTAAAAAAAAATAAGGTTATATTAATTTGAGCCTTTTATTTAACTCATATGTCCCAAATATTATCATTTCAACATATAATCAATGTTAACATATAATTATTTCAACATAATCAACTGCTTCAGTTTTTAAGTTTAAATTAATTAAAATTAAAATTTCAGTTCTTCAAGCACACTAACCAGATTCCAAGGGCTCAATTTCACATGTGGTTAGTGGCTACTGTGACACACAGATCTAGCCTTTTCCTACCTGTCTACACTCGCTCCCCTCTTCTTGGATGGTATTTCCCCCCGTCCCCCTTTGTCTAGTTAACTCCTGCTCTTCCTTCAAACCTTGACTAGATCCATACCTAATATCAGCTTATCTCACAGTACTGCATCCTTCCCTTCAAAGCACTGGTTGTAGTTATAATCCACAATTATTTATTTATTTATTTATTTATTAAAGATTTTATTTATTTATTTGAGAGAGAGAATGAGATAGAGAGAGCATGAGAGGGGGAGGGTCAGAGAGAGAAGCAGACTCCCCACCGAGCAGGGAGCCCGATGCGGGACTCGATCCCGGGACTCCAGGATCATGACCTGAGCCGAAGGCAGTCGCTCAACCAACTGAGCCACCCAGGCGCCCCACAATTATTTATATAGTCATTTGATTATTGCATGTCTCCCCTGGTAGACATAAGCTCCATTAAGGAAGGGATCAAGTCTGGCTTAGCTCACCACCCTGTCCCCAGTAAGAGCACACTGCTGGCTTGTGTTGGGCACTCAGTAAATCGTCATTGAGTGGCTGAAGTTTAAACTGAACAAAAGTCTGATTCCAAAATCAGCATCGTTTTAACTTATTTAAACATTAAAATTGTTTAACGTGTTAACTTTAAACAGGGGACATTCAAATCCCAGGTGTCAGAATATGTGCAACACGAGGGCGGAATGTTTGTTATTCTTCCACTTGTCTGCCCCCAACACAGCACAGTGAGGCCCACAGGGTAGATAGTCAGTGAAGTTCGTTTTGTCCCCCATCCTTTTTCCCTCCCCAAGGAGTGACGGTAAAGGCTTATCATGTTTCAGAGAATACCTAAAAGGGTATGATGAAAAATTCCGAAGAGAACAGAGTGTGTATTTTAAACATTTCTTTTAAGAACCATAATAATAGCCAATTCTTCCATTCGGCATGAGTAAGAATGTTAAGCTAAAGCAAGAGGCTTCTTGACAGGGGCGCCTGGGTGGCTCAGTCATTAAGTGTCTGCCTTCGGCTCAGGTCATGGTCCCAGGGTCCTCGGGCTCCCTGCTCGGCGGGAAGCCTGCTTCTCCTTCCCTCGATCCCTCTGCTTGTGTTCCCTCTCTCTCTATGTCTCTCTCTGTCAAATAAATAAATAAAAATCTTTAAAAAAAAAAAAGAAAAAGAGGCTTCTTGACAGAGTCGCCCTAAGCCTGCTTCTCAGAGAACATGCCATAGTCATGCTGGGGAGTGGGTGAGAGGAAAGTGAGAAGCCCTGCAATGCACCTGCCTCCTCCTTACCCTCTCCCCCTTGCCTACATAGCGAAAGGCTAGGAGCTAGAAGGAGGAAATAGTACTGACCTGGGCCTGGGACAGCCTTTCCTGCAATCCAGCTGACTTGGGACAGCCCCAAGCTTCATTCGGACTAGAAAGAAGTACGGTGAGTGAGTCTAAGATGGAATCAAATATTAGTGAGTGTACCTAATCCCTGCGAATTAACTTGCCTAATGGAGAAAGATGTGGAAGCAAATAATTCCAGTTCAGAATTTTTTTTTTAATTTATTTATTTGAGACAGAGAGAGAGAGAGAGAGTAGGAGCAGTGGGGAGAGGCAGAGGGAGAGGGAGAAGCAGACTCCCCGCCGAGCAGGGAGCCTGATGCGGGGCTCGATCCCAGGACCTGGAGATCATGACCTGAGCCGAAGGCAGACGCTCAACGACTGAGCCACCCAGGCGCCCCTCCAGTTCAGAATTATAAGTGCAGTAATGGAGAGATGAAAGCAGAATCCCGAACTTCTCAGGGGAGGGGCAGTAACTAACGGCCTGGAGTAATTCAAGGTTTTCCAGGGGCGCCTGGGTGGCTCAGTCGGTTAAGCGTCTGCCTTCGGCTCAGGTCATGATCCCGGAGTCCCGGATACGAGCCCCGCATCGGGCTCCCTGCTCTGCGGGAAGCATGCTTCTCCCTCTCCCACTCCTTCTGCTTGTGTTCCCTCTCTCTCTGTCTCTTCTCTGTCAAATAAATAAATAAAATATTAAAAAAAAAAAAGGTTTTCCAAAAGAGGGGTGTCCGGGTGGCTCAGTTGGTTAAGCATCTGACTCTTGATCTCAGCTCAGGTCTTGATCTCGGGGGCCCGAGTTCAAGCCCTGGGTTGGGTTCCATGCTAGACGTGGTACCTACTTAAAAACAAAAAAACTGTTTATAAAAGAAGGTTTTCCCCAAAAGATATATCACGTGGGATGAGCGTGGAATAGAGGGAACAGCATGTGAAAAGGCACAGAGGCACCGAGAGCATAGCAGAGCAAGGACCAGGAGGAAGTTCAGGCGGGCAGGCCTACAGGATGTATGGCCGGGGAGAAGAGCCAGAGCAGAAGGCACGAGCACGAGGAGAGGAAAAGACAATGTGGTGAGCCCCTGGAGTAATTTTCCCACTAAACTACCTTTTCCCTCTCCTTCCATTACATATGAGCTTATTGAGGGCCGATCTGAGTCTTACTTCATTAGAACCAGGCCTGTGCCCCCGGGCTCCATCCATGGAAGAGCCACAGATGGTAGTATGAACTCCTGGCCAGTACGCAAGGACCCATGGAGAGCAGTCCAGCCAGAGTGTTCCGAAGCCAGGAGGAAGAGGAGTGAGGAGGCCAGTTTTCTGGGAGGGAGCAGGAAGCCTCAGGTAGATCAGGAGCCTCATGCTGAGGAATAGACCCAGAGTCGCAGAGTCCTAGCATCTCTGAGCTGTAAAGGGTGTTAGGAATCTAATCCAGATCTCTGACTTGGCAGATGAGTCTCAGAGAGACGGGGATTTGGTTTCCTTTCTAACTTGGAAACTGGTTTGCTGGGCGGCCTGGAGCCCTGGCCTTTTCATCACTCTCGTCTCCTTATTTTAAAAACTAGAACAATATTCATGGGAAACAGGGTGGGGCAGGGGGAGCATCAACAGGAAAGGAAAAGTGTATATGTCTGAAATCCCTCAGAAGGGCTTGTCAGACGATGGCCTCCGTTCCCCATGGGGCACGCAGCATGTGCCTTGCCATCAGCCCCGCTTTACCAGGTGAACGTGGTTGTGTTTTTTCTTTTCTTTTTTTTTTTAAAGATTTTATTTATTTATTTGACAGAGACACAGCAAGAGAAGGAACACAAGCAGGGGGAGTGGGAGAGGGAGAAGCAGGCTCCCCGCTGAGCAGGGAGCCCGATGCGGGGCTCGACCCCAGAACCCTGGGATCATGACCTGAGCTGAAGGCAGACGCTTAACGACTGAGCCACCCAGGCACCCCGTGGTTGTGTTTTCTAAGACGTTCTATGTTATCTGTGATTTCCAGGAGGCTGGTGGAACAGAGAACAAGATTGGAGTAGGAAATGGGAGGCTCTTAAGTGGAAACTTACTGTTTTGTCCTTTTACAAGAAACTGGACAATGGCTTATTTCAGGAACATGGATGTCATCAATGTCACTGCCTTGCCAGTGGTGCCCGTGGATGAGCACCTGACCGTCTCCCTCGGGTCACGGGATGCGGTGAAAAATGCCCTGAGGAAGAGTCTGGAGAACAACCCACCCTGTATCCTTCTTTGGTGCCATCTACAATCCAGGCCAAATGCGCCTGCCACAGAGGGGTAACCAGCGCCTGCGTCTGTGACTCGCACGATCAGCTCCTTTCCTTCTGTGCTCATTAAGTTTTTTCAGTTCGTTAAGCCCTACCTATCCTCTAAAAGAACCTGTGAGACTGTGACGGATTGTTTGATTTGAGTTTATTTTTCTAGGATAATCAGGGCCCCAGAGGAAGAAGTACGGGAAACATTTGTTGAAAGAATGAGGAAGAAGATGAAAAAAAAAGCTCATTTTTTTTTTTTCCATCGTCTCATTCTTTCTCTTCTGTCTTCCAAAGAATTATAGATAGCAACTAAGAAGTCCCGGTGTAGCCCTCTGCCCCCAGATAGGTGAGCTGAAGACCCAACTTTGTTGTTGGTGTTCTCACTCCAGTTGACCTCGCCTTATCACCTGCCCCACCTTCTGCTTGGGCTCCGAGTTTGCCCTTTCTGGCATCCCCCCACCCCGCCCCCGCCCCCGCCCCCGCGCCGGGCTCTTCCAGCATCTGACTTCTCTAGCCCTGCCTTCATTGATCCACATCTCACTTCTGACTCTGAACTCTCTGCCAGGGACCCTCAGAAGCCCATCTCTGGAGGACCTTAGAGCTCATCCAGCAAATAACCCTCTCGGGTTATAAATAACCCCAGGTCGTCTCATCTCATCAAGAGCTCATTGACCTTCGAGTCCTGCTGCTGCATGTGTCCCTCTACATCCCCTCCCCTTCTGCACCTCTCAGGGACCCCTCTCGAGATGAGCACAAGCGATCCCATCAGGGTCTGCTTCAGGGACTCACTTTCCCAGGCCTTTTTCTAATGTCCCCTCTTTCTTCTTAATCCCTCACTCATCTCAACCTAACTAACCCATTTCACTTCCTGTGATTTGTCATGTCCCTCCTTGGCATCTTCATTTGTCAAGTATCCTCCATCTGTAAGAACCCTTGAGGGTAATGGAAATAAGAGTGAACCCTGCTTTATGTGGAGGCAGTGAGGAGTGATAGGATTATGGGGCTTCTACAGAAGATATATCCTAGACCAATTGAGCCCAAGACAGAAAGAAACGCAAGCACAGAGAGGGTAACAAGAGGGGCCCTTGAGCTGAGCAGAGATTTCAACAGTGATAAACAAGGTCAAGATACCCTCTGACCCAGTCATCCCTCACCTGAAAATCTCCCTTGAAGGAATAATCCAAAATACAGAAACAGCTCTCTGACTATGTGCATCACGGCATTATTTTTAATTGTAAGAAATTATGAACAACTTAAATATTCAATAGCCATGAACAGTTAAGTGCGTTAAGGTGCATTCTCTAAATGGATTCATAATGCCATTTAAAATATTATGAGGATTGGGGCGCCTGGGTGGCTCAGTAGTTAAGCGTCTGCCTTTGGCTCAGGTCATGATCCCAGGGTCCTGGGATCAAGCCCCGCATTGGGCTCCCTGCTGGGCAGGAGGCCTGCTTCTCCCTCTCCTACTCCCCCTGCTTGTGTTCCCTCTCTCATGTGTCTCTCTGTCAAATAAATAAATACAATCTTTAAAAAAAAATAAATATATAAAATATTATTAGGATTATTTAGCTTTATGGAAAATGATCATAGTAACGAGTGGAAGAGAAGTCAGAGTCCTAAAGTAAGCATTCACTGAGACAATAATTATGTAAAAAGGTATGTATATAAAAAATACTGGAAGGAAATCTCCCGAAATCCTAACAGAAGTTGTTAGTGTGGTAGCATAATGGATGATTCCTTTTATATTTTCTAAGGTGTCTAGGATATGGTTAATTTTCATCTAGAATTCATAAAGCAACTCCTTTAAAACGCTAAAAGAAGTGTGAATGTTTGTAAAGAAAATAGTTAAGTAGAGAGACAGCTCAGAAAGAGAGTGAGCTAGGCTAGCCTGCCCCATGCCTGTGTGATCAGTACCCAGAGTGTTTCCTTAGCAGACCCCCCTCCCAGGCTGCCTTATTGGCTCCATACACCGGGTGAACCAAAGGATTGCTGAGCTCGATCTGAGTCCCAGCCTGTTGGCCAACAGCCTGGTGAGTTATGGGTGCTGAGACGAGGCTTCCCGGCAGGAAGGGCTCTGGGGGCTCCCCCATTTATTTGAAAGCACATTTGCACAATAGAGATCTCAAAGATATTTTATTACTTAGCAAACTTAATTTTTTTGGAGCAGTTTTAGGTCCACAGCAAAATTGAGCTGAAAGTACAGAGTTCCCATATACCCCTGTCCCAACGCATGGGCAAGATCCCCATCACCACAGTGGTACATTTGTTACAATTGATGAACCTGCATGGACACATCATTATCACCCCAAAGTTGTCATTTACATTAGGGTTCTCTCTTGGTGCTGTACATTCTGTGTGGAGAAATGTGTAATGACATATATTCACCTTTGTAGTATCGTACAGAAGAGTCTCACTGCCCTAAAAATCCTCTGTGCTCCTCCGCTTCACCCTCGCCGACTCCTCACCACACCTGAACTTTCTGCTCTCTCCATAGTTTTACCTTTTCAGAATGACCTAGAGTTAGAACCCTACAGTACTCTGGCTTCTTTCACTTAGTAATAGGCATTTAAGGTTCCGCCATGTCTTTTCATGGCTTGATAGCTCATTTCTTTTTGGCACTGAATAATATTCCTTTCTCTGGATGCACCACAGTTTATTTACCTGTTCACCTCTTGTTTGCTTCCAAGTTTTAGCAATTACACACAAGGCTGCTGTGAACATCTATGTGCAGGGTTTTGTGTGGACATATATTTTCAGTTCATTTGGGTAAATAATGAGGAGCGCGATTCCCGGACCATCTGGTAAGAGTATGTTGAGTTTTGTAGGAAACCACCAAACTGTCTCCCAAAGTGGCTGCACCACTTTGCATTCCCAGCAGCCACAAATAAGAGCTCCTGTTGCTCCCCATCCTCACCAGCATTTGGTGTTGTCAGCAGGCTGGATCTTGGCCGTTCTAATCAGTATATAGCGATATCTCCTTGTTGTTTGAATTTGCAATTCTCTAATGACATGTGCTATTGAACATCTTTTCATATGCCTGCTTACCATCTGTCAATCTTCTTAGGTGGGGTGCAAGTCTTTGCCCCATTTTTTGATTGAGTTGTTTGTTTTCTTATGGGTGGGTTTTAAGAATTGTTTGCATATTTTGGGGAACAGCCCTTTACCAGATGTGTCTTTTGCAAATATTTTCTGCCAGTTCACTCCGATTAAAGCTCCTAACCCCACCCCCCTTGGCAGCTTGCTTTCCACCAAGTCCCTCTGTCCCCGGGGCCCTGAGCTGGTGATTGTCTCCACAGGTTTCAGCTTCACCCTCTCCCCCAACTTTTCTAGCACTGACTTTAGGGGTCAGTTCATCTCTTGAGTCCATCTTTTTGTTTTGTTTTGTTGTAATTTAAATGGCAAGGGATGTATGTTTATTCTAAAATACTCAAACTGGGGCGCCTGGATGGCTCACTTGGTTGAATGTCCAAGGTCCAGGTCATGATCTCAGGGTTGTGTGATCGAGCCCCACATTAAGCTTGGCGCTCAGCGTGGAGTCTGTTTGGGATTCTCTCTCTCTCCCTCTTCCTGCACCCTACCCCCTGCTCACACACTCTCTTTCTCTAAAAAATAAAAAATAATTTTTATTTATTTATTTTTAAAGATTTTTATTTATTTATTTGACAGGGCGACACATAGCGAGAGAGGGAACACAAGCAGGGGGAGTGGGAGAGGGAGAAGCAGGCTTCCCGGTGAGCAGGGAGCCCGATGCGGGGTTGGATCCCAGGACCCCGGGATCATGACCTGAGCAAAAGGCAGACGCTTAACGACTGAGCCACCCAGGCACCCCTCTATCAATTTTATTTAATGATTAGTGTTTTGTATCCTACTTAAGAAATTTTTGCCTAGGGTGCCTGGGTGGCTCAGTTGGTTAAGCGACTGCCTTCGGCTCAGGTCATGATCCTGGAGTCCTGGGATTGAGTCCCACATGGGGCTCCCCCTTCTCTGTGGGGAGTCTGCTTCTCCCTCTGCCTCTGCCTGCCACTCCCCCTGCTTGTGCTCATTCTCTCTCTCTCTGTCAAATGAATAAATAAAATCTTTAAAAAAAAAAAAAAGAAATTTTTGCCTACTCCAAGGTCATATTCTTTTTTTTATTTTACCATTCCAAGGTCATATTTTCATATATATAACCTTCTGCAAATTTTATTGTTTTAGCTTTCACATTTAGGACTATGATTCATCTGGAATTAATTTTTGTACAAGGTGTGAGACAGAGGTCAAGGTTCATTTCTTCCCAGATATTACCCAATTTTAATTTATAATACACAAATAGTTTAAAAAGATTCCTTCTAAGAAACTGTAGACTGAAAATAACCATAACAAAAGCACAAATGAACAGAAGGAAACAGAGCTCTTGATTTTCCTACTCCTACATATAAAATCTTCCTCCGCCACATTATGAGATAAAAAGAGTAATGAATTGTGTGCCTGGGTGGCCCAGTCAGGTAAGCATCTGCCTTCAGCTCAGGTCATGATCTCAGGGTCGGGGGATCAAGCCTGGCATCAGGCTCCCTGCTCAGCAGGGAGTCTGCTTCTCCCTCTGCCCCTCCCCCTACTTGTGCGTGTGCACGCACCCTCTCTCTCTTTCAAATAAATAAAATCCTAAAAAAGACCAAAACAGTAATGAATTAATCACATCTGACAAAAAGCTGGCCATAAAAAGAGAGAACTTCTCAAGACCATGTGAAACAAGGTTTATATCAACTATCATTAAAAGATAACTCATTGTATGAATCCATCACAATTACGAAGACATGCCCTCAATGAGAACGTGACGAAAAACTGTGCTGTTTTCAGTGATGTAGAAATTAATGTCACTAAGATTAATGATAAAAGTCTAGAAGGTTCTTTGAAGGTATTACTATATAATACAGAAGTTCATGTCTGTATGATTTATAAATAAATAAAAATAAAGATATTTGGAGGAGGTGTACTCATGAGAGTTTCATTGGTAGGTGTGTATTTATAATTAAAAACAGCAGTAGATCCACCACCTAGGGGATGGCATTTGAGCCTGGGCACAATATGAGTACTTGGACAAAGCAGAATGCTTCCAGCTTGGTGGTGGATGGGACAGCAGTGGGGACCAAGATGCTGAGATTGAAGCTGCGCTACCATGTCATCCAAACCAGTGGAAGGCTCTGGCATTGTTTCTCTGGAGAAAAGTAAAAGGGTGGAAGAGGGAAGACAATTAATCTGATGTCTGTAGAGGGCAGAACAAGAGTGAAACGAGAATATCTGGGAAGAAATTGTTTAACTCCAAAAAGAAAAGAGCACAGTAACATAAACTAGTATCACTTTCTGCCTAGCCACCATGGGTTGGGCCCAATGCTGAGCACACTTCATACATTTCTTTTATTCCTTGCCGCAACCCCATTAGGTAGGTGTTTTCCTATCCATATCAGAGGTGAGAAGACTAGGGCGTGGATGGGGCGCCTGGGTGGCTCAGTTGGTTAAGCGACTGCCTTCGGCTCAGGTCATGATCCTGGAGTCCCGGGATCGAGTCCCACGTCGGGCTCCCTGCTCAGCAGGG